TAATAACAATAACAACCCCAATAATTATAATAATAATAATAATATTATTATTATTATTATTATTATTATTATTATTATTATTATTATTATTATTATTATTATTATTATTATTATTATTATTATTATTATTATTATTTATTTATCTATTGTTATAATAATGATTAAAAACAAATTAAGGACCAAATTGTTTTTATTCTTAAAAACATCCTAAAATTGATATCAGTGCCCTTTCTCCCTTAAATCACCAATCAGCTATAACCAAATTCAGTATCCTTTCAGAATTATTAAAATGGAAAAAATTGACTTCAATGGTTTTGATTATAATTTGAAACTTCCTAAATATTTTGGTATAAACAGTACAACCTCGATAAATTAAATATTCGATAAATTTATAACATCTCTTAAATAATAGTTAAGGTATTGTCCAATTTAACATTCTTATATCCTGTTGCTAAAATTATTATTATTATTATTATTATTATTATTATTATTATTGTTATTTATTATTATTATTATTATTATTATTATTATTATTATTATTATTATTATTATTATTATTATTATTATTATTATTATTATTATTATTATTATTATTATTATTATTATTATTATTATTATTATTATTATTATTATTATTATTATTATTATTATTATTATTATTATTATTATTATTATTATTATTATTATTATTATTATTATTATTATTATTATTATTATTATTATTATTATTATTATTATTATTATTATTATTATTATTATTATTATTATTATTATTATTATTATTATTATTATTATTATTATTATTATTATTATTATTATTATTATTATTATTATTATTATTATTATTATTATTATTATTATTATTATTATTATTATTATTATTATTATTATTATTATTATTATTATTATTATTATTATTATTATTATTATTATTTGTCCTTTTAATTTAATTTTTTTTTAAACTCTAACAGGGTCTGAGATATCATTTGCCCTCCTCACACGACCTCTTCAACTTTGAATTTTGGGTTGGTAAACTTGATTGTTTAAAAAATCTAGTCTTTTGTGTTTGAGTAACTTTTCTTATTGCTCATGACACTGTCTAGGTAACAGAGGAATTTCAAGCTGTGAATGTATCTGTCAAGACTGATACATGGAGGTCTGAGGTCAGAATGCCTGTTTATTTTGCACATGTTCTGTTTCGATTGTTGTTTTTCCATGTTTAGGATATGCAATGGATGAAAATAAATTGGCTACTATATCTTAGTTTTTGAAAATAACTTTTAACTACGTTGATGAGAATCCTATGTTTCATTGATGAACTAAAGTGCAATGATTTCCAATTTAAGGCTACATTGTCTTGAGAAATTCACACGAAGATTTTCTTACCACAATAGGCAAAAAAAAGTGATCTATTTAGACTGACAGTTTCATTTACGAGAAGTAGATAGCAATGCTGTAAACATAGTTATGAATGTAGTTACACAATGTTTCTTCATTGTGCTTGGGGATTGGATTGACCTTTCCAATATGATTCTGTGCAGATTGTTGCAGATGGTGTTGATCCTAAGCAGCAAACTTTTTTCCTTTGGTACACCTTGGATATACTAAATATTTCGACAATTACTTGTTTGTGCTTTTTATGTTATAAATGCGTTGAAATCATCTGGGTGCAACGCAGTTCTAGGGGATCACGTCGCAGAAAACTTAGGAGCGTAGTTCAGAGTTCAAAGCATGTCCATCCCCTCGTCATGGACACGGAAATGCCGGGATCAATCGTTGAGCTTCGAGAAAAGACTGATGGTAATTTATACATATGATCTATTGATTATGACTACTATTTGCTAACAAGGTCTCTTTCCTGTGTATTAATTCATCTAGTGACAAATTTAACCTCAACATAGCATTGGGAACTTGCATTGGAGTTCAGTCATAGATAAAGCTTGTCTTTTGCTTTGCTTTCAAACTGCTGTCTACCACTTACTGTTACTCCTTACTTCCTTAGTTGAGAATGCTACATCCCGATTTGCACACTTAGACCGTCTGTTCAGTTCTGTGAGCAACATCATTCATAAAAAAAAATGTCTGAAACCTAAGGTTACTATCACTATTGTTCGCGCTCAAAATCTATTAATTCATTAGGTTATATCTGTTAGACATTTAGGTTCCTTCTGTTTACTCTAGCCTGCAAGATGAAGTGAAAACTGGTGTACATGAGACAGTCAAGAGTCTACGACCTGCTTTTTTCTCAGTTGTAGTCAAACACCAATTAGCCTAGAATTTGATATAACATGAATACAACCTCTATATATATATATATATATATATATATATATATATATATATATATATATATATATATATATATATATATGTGTGTGTGTGTGTGTGTGTGTGTGTGCGTGTGTGCGTGTGCAGATAGATAGGCATGTATAGTTACATATAGGTTTGAAGTATATCTGATTTTCCGTAGGTATAGGAGAGAGTGGGGACCGTGACGCCTCCAGTCCCAGGGTTTCGTCGGCCACAGCTCATTCATATGCAGACCCAGAATGTATTCAGTCATTGCCTGGAAGCAACCTCACACCTCCAGCCTTACTACAGTTTGCAAAGACGAGGAAGTTATCGATTGAGCGTTCGGACCCTAGAAAGTAAGTTCTTGCTCAGTCTTTATTTACTTGAATTTGGAATCCTGTAAATTTGGATTTGAGTTTGAGCCAGCTCCAACGAAATCATGTCTCAGTCCTTAAGCACCCAGATTTTCACCCTCAATACTTTTACTGTTGTGATCCGTTGAACTTGAGCAAGGTAATGATCTAATGATTGTCACTAACTGATAATAAAATTTCCTTTTTTTCCTTTCAGTCGCGCCCTCTTGCAGAAGCGGCAGTTCTTTCACTCACATAGAGCTCAAGTGAGTATTTAACAATCATTTATTTTACTTATAGTAGGTAAACTGTTACGCATGACCAAAGTGTTCGTACTTCTGCAGCTCAATTTGGTTTGCGACATAAAATATTGTGACATTGATCTCTGTTAAATCGACCCTAATATAGTCTGGGTGACGAATAAGTGGTGGGGTTTTATTTAGCCTTACAATACACGCACCCATTGCAAATGGATGTTGTTGAAATGGAATATGCATTAAAACTTCTATTCTCATTCTTTATGTATCATTATATTGTTATACCTGCCTTTTGCTGAGTTTTGGCTGCACCACCTTTCGCTTTGTTGAATATATGTGAAGTTATATGCTACGTTTAATTTCTTATGTATGATTTGACTTGCTGAGTTTTGGCTGCACCATCTTTCGCTTTGTTGAATATATGAGAAGTTATATGTTACGTTTAATTTCTTATGTATGATTTGACACAACGATATGATATCTAAAATGGAAAGATTTTGTAATCAATGCAGCCCATGGCCATGGAGCAAGTCCTTTCAGACCGTGACAGTGAGGATGAAGTCGATGATGACGTTGCAGATCTTGAAGATCGAAGGGTGCACTTTCTCTTCTTTTAATGCTATTGCTTTCAATTTCTTGCTTATCTCTACTTCTACTTGTTTATTTGCTTTCACTTGAGGGGTTTGTTATATTATGTGGAATAGGCAAAATACTGAAAGATTGCATATTTTTTCAATTTACTAACTGGATTTACTGAGATGCGAACATATAGTTTTTTTCAACCTAAAAACATTTTCATTGTTGCGTATATATGCTTACCTAAGAATATGGCAAGCGATATTTTTGTCGTGTTGCATTTGCCATTAATGTATTGTACTGATGTTGAGCAGATGCTTGATGACTTTGTGGATGTCACGAAAGACGAGAAGCAGTTGATGCATCTCTGGAATTCTTTTGTTCGTAAACAAAGGTCAGCAAAATTTTGGGTTTTTTTCATCTATTTCGAATTTTATGCTAATATTTCTCGATGATCTTCTCGCGAGGTTTGTCAGATACTGACACATGTTTGGCTCTAGAAACACATTAATCAAGTGATGAGTGAACTCTTCCGAGTTTTTATTTTTCGTTTGTATATTTATTATTATTTTCGTTAAGGTGTTATTTTTGTAATTATTGCAGGGTACTAGCAGATGGGCATATTCCTTGGGCTTGTGAGGCTTTCTCCAACTTGCACGGACATGATCTTATTCGAACACCAGCATTACTTTGGTAAGCGCACACCAAATCTTTACTATATTATTACAAATTTTCTATCAAATCGGTTTGGTTTCCTTTTATCGTGCACTAAGATCTCGTTTTTGATTGTATATTAATTATGACGTTATTGTTAGGTGTTGGAGATTATTGATGATTAAACTCTGGAATCACGGCCTTCTTGATGCTCGCACCATGAACAATTGTAATATAATTCTCGAGCAATTCCAAAACCAAGACGCGGATCCATGAAAACGACGTGGCGATTGTGGACCTTTGGTGTTTTATATTTAGGCTTGAGAAGTCATGCAAATTCTTAAATTAACTGTTTATTTTATCTTTATATCCTTTTATTAATTTATGTAATTTTACTTTGTTATTGGATAGTGCTTTCGAACATGTAAAAATGGTTGATTATAATAGGTATTGAAATTCAAACACTGTCGTTTGGGTACACTTCAAAACTTAATTTTTGGAATTTATTCATAAAATGAAAACAAAAATAATTAAATATTTGCACATGTTGATTAAGATAACATAAAACAAAACATTTAATATCCAAAATATTGTTATTTTTCAATTATATTACAAATACCAATAATGTACCACTTTCAAAGTTGGAATATTCCTGTCAAATCAAAATTTAGGGTAAATTCAACTTTTCCCCTTTTAACTTTGACTCGATATCATTTTACACCTTTCTACTCTCGATTGCATCGATTTGTAGTTATCAGATCTTTAACCTCAACACTGTTTAATCAAAGTTTGAAAATTATAAAAAAGCCACCCCTCCCAATTTAAATAATTATTAAAAAAATTAAAAATAAATAAAAAATAAATTGCGGTAGCCATCGTGGACTATGATTTCTCGTTGTCTTGAGTTGTTTATTAATTTTTTTTTTTCGGTTTCTTTTTTTTTTTTTTTTTTGAAACTGCGAAGGGTGAACGTTTTGTAATTTTAGAGCTTAGACTAAACGGTGTTAAGATCAAATATCTGACAACTAACAGCGAGGGCCACATTGAGACAATTTTTCAAGTGCAGACTACAGGGGGCAAATCGATGCAATCGAGGGTAGAAGGGAGTAAAGTGATACTGTACCAAAGTACTAGGGAGAAAGTGAAATTTACCATAAATTTTATATTTGTTTAACTTTGTTTCTGAAATTCTTATTTTTTTAAATGATTATATATGCTCAAAAAACATGATAAAGAGATGGTTTTTGAATGGACGAGAGGCGGTCACCTGCAATGTCGTCAGAACCGGATTGGATATGAACACGGACGATCATGTCATGGTTTTACAGAATCGAACTGGTTCGACCGAGTTTTTTATTTTTTTTAATATATTATTTTATTAATTTTAATGTTTTAAAAATACTATTCTCTCTATACTTTTAATCTCTCACTTATCATTTTCAATTTTTTCTATCTCATCCCACTTGTTACTATATTTCTTTTGCTTATACTTTATATTTTCTCATTCTTTATTCTTCGGCAATCGACCACCTCTATTCAATCACCCATGACCATATACGACAACCACTCATGACTAGATTCGGTCATCCACTACTATCTTCGTGAAATTGGCTCTAATCTAACCACAAATAACCAACTAAGTGGTGGTTGAGACATTTTGGCCGAAAACCGGATTCCTTGGCTGACTCGACGGTTCGCAGATTTTATCCGATCGAACCTGATTTTGGTCATTTGACCCCGATTTTAGAGGTCAGACCGGATCGCTTCAGCTTCGGGTCACAGTCGAATCGGTCCGACCGGCTGGTTCGGTTCGGTTCGGTTCTAACAACACTGGTCACATAAATAATAGCTTCAGGTTATATTATTTTGCTAATCATTTGTAATGAAAAAAAAATATCTCACTAAATCTCTTTTTGGCTTATGGTAACAAGTGTTTATAGGGGTGGAAATCGCACTAGAATTTTCGACAATTTCGATCCAAAAACATCCAAATTTGGAACCGTATGGAGCCGTATTTTTCGCTCCGATTTTCGAAGTTTCGATTCCCGATTGTTTCAAACTTATTTGGAATAACCGGAATTGTATATAGAATCACCAGAAATCCAATTTCCGAATATTTTGGTTGTTTTCCGAAATATACAATATAACTTTATGATATATTTTGTAATTACATAGAATAACTTATGTTTTTTTTTCTTTTTTGTTTCTTTTTTGTTTTTAGAAATAACATCAACCCCCTATGAGTTAGGTCTAATTATACTACAACCCCCTCACATTTAAGAAAAACTAGTAGTTTGATGCATGGTATTGGAATAAAATTAATGCAAAATAAAATAAAATTAAAATCATATATTAAGGTTTCAAAATTAGAATATTTTAAATGTAAATCACATTGAAAGTAAAACATGCAATATCTTTTAAAATGGGAGGGAAAAGGTGTCCTAGCTTTCCTCTAAGTCTCAGCAATATAATTATAATCTGAAAATTTGAAGTAAGAAAGGATACGAAGAGATAGCGTTGTCAAACAATATGAAAAAAAATAGGAAAAAGAGAATCGAAAATTAAATTAATTAGACAGGCACACAAATTCGAAAATTGAACTAAAAATTTAAAATAATTAATATAAGATACATATAATTTAAAAAAAAAAAAATTACAAGAGAAAGTTGTGGAGGGGGAATTGAACCCTGCATGTTTACCCTATAAATTCTAAATTGTATAAGTTTTAAAATGGGCTAAATACACCTTACACCCATGAAATATAAGTATATAACGTATGTAACTTACCCCCTTAAAATATCATTGGTAATACTTACCCTTCAATATCAAATATTTTATATTTTAATTTTTTTACATAATAAACATAACAATCTAATAATTATTGGATCATAAAAATTGAAAAGCAACTAAAATTAAATTATTGGAAAAAAATAAAAGAAAAAGTATATAGTAATAATGAGTGAAAATATATTTTAAGAAATTAATGAAATAAAATAAATTTAAATACTTAATATTACTATTATTTATGTATTGATTTTTAAAAAAAAAATCGATATGAATATATTCGATTAATTGGTTCAATAACAATTAGATGTTATTTATTAAATACGCACCCAACACTACAAGATAATATTTTAAAATTTTAATATTGCATTTTCAAAAGATATTTTTAGTTGCATAGTTTAATTATTCTTTTAGTTATTATTTTAAATAAAAAAAGAAAATTTAAGGTATTAGAATTTAAAATACAAATTAAATTGAGCTTGAGAGGGATAAATGTTACAAATAATACTCTATAAGTGTTACAGATGATATACATTAGATGTGTAAACTTAATTTAACCCTTTTAAAATTAGAGTGGAATAATAAATTAGGCAAGAATCCCACCCTATATATTAAGCATAGATCCACCCAACCTACGGTAAGCATACATATATAGATACTACGTATAGCATCGAATTTTCCTTATTTTTGTATGTCAACTTTAGATATTATCGAGATGGAATATTACAAACTAAGAATAACAAATATCTTGACTATATGTGTTAATTTATGTGGCACGGAAACTATAACTTGTTAATGTACCTGTACTGCGGACACGTTTTAATTCCGACACTCGATGACACTTGATGGACACCTTATGAGATATTTTACAAATTTTGAAAAGTTCAAAACATGTTAGAATAACAAATTCTTCCAAATATTTTTATTGCTTTCCAAATTATTTACATGATAATGATCAAATGCAAATTAATAGTTGATAATAATATTTATTTTGAAAATATATGTACCGAATATAAAAAAAAAAATTATATATATATATATATATTAGAAGTCTTTTTTTTTTTTTTTTTTAGCAAATTTAATAAAATGATTTATATAGATATTGAATCATTTAAAATGATTTTACCAAATTAAACAATCCAAATCTTGAAAAAACTAGTATAAATACAACATAATAAACTCTATATCATATATGTATGTACCTTCCCACTATATTTCACCATCAAACAATGCAATCTTCCTCAACCTCCAAAGATGACGAGGAGAATGCGCTTTTAAACTCACTACCAAAAGCGCGTTTCTGGAACATAGTTGAATTGCGTCAGTGGGACGGCTACTGGTTCGAGCCCGGCCTATTGAAATCCGCCATAACCTTCAGATCAAGCTTCCATGCCCGAAACGACGACGTTCTGCTTGCGTCACCCATCAAAACCGGCACCACGTGGCTCAAATCTCTTTCTCTCTGCATCATGACCCGAAACCTCCAAACCCTAGACGAAGACGAAGAAGACGACATCCTAACCAAAGGGAGCCCCCATTTCCACGTACCCACCGTGGAAATCTCGGTTTACTCAACCGAGGAGGCTGCGCCGCCGCGGGCCGCCATCTATGAGGCGGCGGCGTCCGCCGCCGCCCCACGCCTCCTCCACACCCACCTGCCGTACGCAGTCCTCCCGGACTCCGTCAAGGAATCGGAGGGCTGCAAAATCGTGTACATCGCCCGAAACCCAAAGGACACGCTGATCTCGATGTGGCACTTCTTAAACTCGCAGTTCGAGACGCTGACCGACGGCGGCGGCGGCGGCGGCCCGTTTCCGTTGGAGGATGCCGTGGACTGCTTCTGCTCGGGCGTCCACATCTACGGCTCGTTCTTCGACCACGTGGCGGAGTACTGGGCCGAGAGCAGGAAAAGGCCCGAGAAAATACTGTTTGTGAAGTACGAGGATCTGAAGTGTGAGCCGAAGAGATATGTTTCGGAGATCGCGGAGTTCTTGGGGAGGCCGTTCGGAGAAGAGGACGAAGTTGGAGTCAACGAGGTTTTGAGGAGGTGCAGTTTGGAGAGGCTAAAGAATTTGGAGGTGAACAAGACTGGTTCGGTTGTTTTCCCTTGTCCTAATAGTTCTTATTTTCGAAAAGGTGAAGTTGGTGATTCGAAGAACTATTTGACGGCCGAGATGGAACGAAGAATCGACGAAACTAGCCGCCTCAAGCTCGAGCCTTTCGGCCTCTTTCTTTAGCTAATTCGTTGCTATTACAGGGTGGACTTAAATTTATGGGTTCGATGAAAAAATAATTATGACACTTTTTGCATTAATTTGAGTTTTGGGTGTGCTAAATAATAAAATTTGGGTGGAGGACTGTACGATGTCCCGAAAAAAAAAAAAACAAAATAAGACTTTTTTTTTGAAAAAAGTTAGAAAATAGGAAATTAAAATAAATTGTTTTAGGACATTTGTAGAGCATTAATTTATAATTTGATTGGCTAAATAATAAGAATTGGGTTGGCGGAATAAATATATAGGTAGGTATAAATTTGTGGTATTTTGTAAAGTGTAGTGGGGGTCCGGGGGAGTTGGGTATTTATTGTTTTGTTGCAGAACGTAACATGCATGCATGTGGTTAAATTAAAGGAGAATCCGTACGTTACAGTGGGTAAGGATATAAATGCATGTTTCTTACATATTATTGGATCGACAAAATAATTTATTAAAAGAACCACAAATTATGCCATTCAACAGATACTAAACATATATAGAAATTAAAAAGTTGAGAATTAAGTCAACAATTTATATATGGAGTCAGAAAAATTCGATTGTTATACCTGGTTATTTATATACCGGGTCGATTTGAACTATAGATTTACAAATAATGATATATACATTTATGTATGTGTTCTTAATGGATAGTTATTTAATTAAATCAAAGAATTCAAATCCACCAGTAACCAGGTGTAGCATCTCACTTATCGACATCTCACTTATCGAAGCGCGAAGAATAATGCATGTTTGACCAGCTAGCATAACTGTTCATGCACAAACTGACTCAACATACAATACTATTTTTATTTATTTTAATTTGGATAATTAAAATATATACCATACTATTAGTTTCCACAATGAGCGACGGTTGACTTTTAATTCAGGGTTTCATTACAATAATAATGTGAAGGCATGTTAACACATAGTACATATCCCATATTCATAATGGAGACTATAAAATACCTCATTGATTCCCAAAGTCTCGATCTCAAATATTTATTCTCAATAATATCTCTCTAATTCTACATCTTGCACCATGCCAGATTTATCTTCTTCCCAAATCACAAAACCCCTCAATAATATTGTGGAGAAGTCGCTATTAATAAACGAGCTACCAAGATCGCGTTTTTGGGAAACCATGGACATCTGCCAATGGGAAGGCTTCTGGTTCGAGCCGAGCCTCGTAGGTCCCGCCATGACCTTCCGGTCAACCTTCCACGCCCGAGACGACGACGTTCTCCTTGCATCCACCATGAAAACGGGGACCACTTGGCTCAAATCCCTCTCCCTCTCCATCATCACGCAAAATCGCAACCGCCGCCAAACCACCACAACCTCCGACATTTTAACCTCGGAGAACCCACATTACCTCGTACCCACAATCGAAAGCACCATGTATTCAACCAAGCCCCTCCAATTCGACCCCTACGATTCATCAGATCCACGCCTCCTCCACACCCACCTCCCGTACTCCGTCCTCCCCGACTCCGTCAAGAACGGGCCGTGCAAGATCGTGTACATCGCCCGTAACCCTAAGGACACCGTAATCTCGATGTGGCATTTTTTTAACTCCATCTTACAACAAGAGGAAGATCCGTTTCCAATGGAGAAAGCGGTCGACTGCTTCTGCTCGGGGGTCCATCAATACGGTTCGTTCTTCGACCATGTGAGGGAGTACTGGGTCGAGAGCAAGAAAAGGCCCGATAAGATACTATTTGTGAAGTACGAGGAATTGAAGACCGAGCCGAAGAGACATGTTTCGAAGATTGCCGAGTTCTTGGGGAGGCCGTTTGGAGACGGTGATGAAGGAGCATTAGTTGAGGAGGTTTTGAGTAGGTGTTGTTTGGAGAGACTGAAGAATTTGGAGGTAAACAAGAATGGTTCCGTTTTGCTTAATGTGCCGAATAGTTCGTTTTTTAGGAAGGGCGAGGTCGGTGGTTGGAAAAACTATTTGACGGCTGAGATGGAAGAGATGATCGACCAAACAAGCCGTATCAAGCTTGAGCCCTTTGGCCTCTTTCTTTAGTTTTTGTGTGTGTGTGTGTGTTTCTCATGCATGCTTTTAATTAATAGGTGTTTTTTACTTGATTCAACTGCATTAAATGTAAGTAGTTTGAAATATACGATCACCAGTTTGAAATTAATTAACAGCATTCGAGGTTACATTGCGATCCATGATTGACTTTGAGAAGTCTAAATATACGAATATACGGAATGTTAGATGCTATACTTGGTTATTTACATCTGAGTGGATTTAAACTGTAGATTTGATTAAATAACTACCCACTAAGCACATATACACATAATGTATGTAATTATGTGTAGATCTATGGTTCAAATCCTCCTAATGTAAATGAACCAAGTGTAGCTTCTAATTAATTTTCCATATACATACTCTATATAGAATTAAAGATACCACGATCTATGAAAATCATTTTTAAGTTATTAATTAGGAGACGTTGACTATTCATTTGTGCTCCACATGCATGCAAATCCATATATATTTTTTTTTACTTATTTCGCGGCCCGATTTAGGTTAAGAATATTTTTCGTATCCGTCATTGTGCTATGTTATTGAGATGATACATTGGGTCATATATATCGAGTAATTTTTAAACTTTTGCTCGTTAATGTAACTAAGCTCTGTAAATTAGTTTTCTAAGTTGAATGTATAATTTGTGTATGTGTTGTGGATGCATTTATTTTTGTTTTAGTTTTTTCGTCAACTTATTTTAACTTGTTGCTTATTAATATAGTTACTCTATTGTTTATTAATATAACTAAATTGTGCAAATTACCGCGTTGCTGTTACTGTTAGTTTTTCTAATTAAGTAATTCCGTTAGAGAGACTTCAGGCCTAACGTCAGATTCAGAGCGAGAAAGCGCACAAAAACTTTTAGCAAAAATGCAATATCCGCATGTTCTTATAGCAACGGGGAAAAAGCTTTAGCACTGATCACGCCTCTCAACCTCTGTATTCTTGCTGCAGAACTGTTGTATGGTTTTTTTTTTTTTTTTTTTTTTTTTTTGTCTCGTTTGGTTCTATCTTTTGCCTATTTATGGTATTGGAGCAATTAATATTTGTATTACATTTTCTTTGTCATTTAACTCTTTCATATTAATATCTTATGCCTATCCTTGTACAGTAGTAAATTGTCTAAGGGGTGTATGGGGAAAAGCTATATTACTCTCTCTCATCTCTCCTCTCTCTTCTTCAATGGTTATTACAACGTGCAACCATCTAACTCTTATTCTGTGCTCACTGAAACCCACTTCAATCTAAGGAATTTTTTTTCTTCTTTCAATTCAGTTTAATTTTCATTCATCTTCCGTTGCATAATGTGAAGCCAATAATTCTGACTCTCTCTTTGGATTGTTTTTTAGGCTATTTTTTCATAATGACTTTCAGTTCAAGACGAAGTTAAAACTTGAGGCATACGAGAGCTAGGGCTGACCGCCTTCCAAAATCCTTTGAAAGAAAGGTTTACGTAGAGCCTGAGATACCGATTGTAGATCAGATGTTTGTATGTTATCCCCAATCTCTTCTCACACCCGTAATCTCTCTACATTTAAATATTAAAATAAAAAAAGCTTTAGCCCTGATCACGACTCTTAACCTCTGTTTTCTTGCTGCTAGCTGCAGTACTTTTTTTTGGTCTTGATTGGTTCTATTTTTTGCCTATTTATGGTATTGGAGCAATTAATATTTGTACTACATCTTCTTTGCCATTTAACTCTTTGTACTAATACCTTATGCCTATCCTTGTACTGTAAATAGTGTATAGCTGTCTCACTCTTATTCTTTGTACTCACTGAAATCCACTTCAATCGAAGGTATTTTTTTTTCTTCTTTCAGTTCAGTTTAATCTTCATTCATCTTCCGTTTTTTAATCTGTAGCCAATGATTTTGACTCTCCCTGGATTGTTTTTAGGCTATTTTTCGTAATGGCTTCTAATTCTAGACGAAGTTACAACTTTAGGCATACGAGGGCTAGGGTTGACCTCCTTCCAAAATCCTTTGAATTTGATCTAAGGACGTTTGACGTGGTGCCTGAGATACTGGTTGTAGATCAGCTGTTTGAAGGTAATTCCTAATCTCTTCTCACACCCGTAGTCTCCTACATTTAAATATTAAATAAAAACCTCTAAAATTTTCGGCTTCAAATAATATAAATCATAGATGAAATCTTGAATCTTATTACTTTTCATATTAAAACTAAAATAATTGAATATTGAATTTGAAGATAAAAAATTAAAGTTTGCGTCTCGGCGCAAGTATAAATAGATTGTCCTTGAAATGAGAGGAAAGTTTGCATGATTTAGACATGTTATCATTGAGTGAAGGCTAGAAAATTTGTTTTAACTTTGATTTAATTTTTTTTTCCTTGATCTTAGAATGCCTTTATGATCTTTACATGATTTCAAATATTAGATATATCTTACACAAATAATTACTCCAATTACAAATCACTAAACCGCTCAATAATATTGTGGAGAAGTCGCAATTAATAAACGAGCCATCAAGAGCGCGTTTTGTAGAGCCTTCCAACTAATCTCCCCTTTATTTTAGTGAAATGCTTTTTGGGGTCTGAAAATTGCTATTTGCAACTCATACCCCAAAAAGTTTTCTCCCTCTAAAAAAAAAAAAAAAAAAATCAAAAAATTCGTATTGAAGCCAAATCAAGCCGAATTCATCGAAATTTTGAGGTATTTTCAACTCCTAAACGTTTTAATTGCATTGGGTAGGAAATTTCGGTTGTAATTGCATGTTAAACAACCCTAAAAACGAATTATAGGGTTGTTTTTGGTCAAAACTGCGCTCGGTTAACGCCCAAATCGGGCGTTCACCAGCATTTTTCATGTCGGGTTTGGGCGTGCAAAATGCTGGTGAGCGTTCACCAGTGTTGTTTTTTTTTTTGTTTTTTTAAATTTAAATTTTACTTATTTAAATATCTCTTATATTTGTAGGATGTCTAATTGGATTAAAAAATTGAAGATGGAAAAGGGAAGGGGCCTATGATTCGTTCCAGACATAATCGAAAGGTTACTAGTTCGATCTACACGGCGTGGCGAACGGACGATGGTTTTTATACAACCACGAGCACTTGTTGATGTTGGATTGTTGGTTTTCTTTTTTATTCTGTTTTCTTGATTCATGATTGTTGGTCTTTTTTTTTTATTTGGATTTGTCAATCCAATAAAAATACTAAGTTCGACATAATAAAATATTAAGTTCGACATAATAAAGTACTAAGTTGGACATAATAAAGTATTAAGTTCGACATACGAAAGTACTAAATTTGACATAATAAAATACTATATACATTAAATCCGATAAACTAAACTAAATCAAACACTATATAGAATATCTCACGCTTGACATCTACCTCGCATTGTGTTGGTTTCCCTGAAAAAAGCGTAAAAAAATTAATAAAAAAATAAAAAGCAAAAAAAAAAACGGGGGAGGGGGGGCGGACGCCCAAGCCGGGCACCAGTAGCTGTTTTGCACGCCTGATTTGGGCGTGGATTGATGGTTTACACGCCCAACTTGGGCGTATAAAACAACTTCGGGCGCCCGGGTTGGGCTTTTGCCCTTTCTGTCTAGATTTTTCGAACAAAATGATGAAAATTTTTACCTCGCTACGATGTGTATCCCGGACTTCATCCAATGAGCTCTTGATATAAATATCTAGCTAGTGACATATATATAATATGTATATTAGTCTCTACTACATAAAACAAATGGATGAATAAATTAGCTGACATCTCTTATTTTAAATTTCTACAGGTGCAAATATAATATGATATAAATAAAAATCTTATATGTCACTTGACCAATAAAATTAATACAAATAAAATAAAATAATATTATATATATACATAAAAATAGAACAAATCACACACATGCTCTTTTCGATCTCCTTAATTCCTCTCAAGTTTCTCTCTCTAACGCCTACTCTTTCTCTCTTTCCCACCGTCTTTTTGTCACGTTTTTTTCTTCCCCTCTCTTCTCTCTATCTCTTTATCTCACATATCTCTTTCCATAGTTATTTGTAATTGATTTATAATTTAAATTTGTAGTTTCTAATTATGATATGATGTTCCTTTCCGACAAATGAAGTCTACGTGGGGTGGGTTGGTATTCAATCATTTTACAACTTTGTCATGTCAATAATTGGTATTACTTTGGTTCCTTCTACTTTCGATTGCATCGATTTTCCCCCTGTACTTGAAAAATTGTCTCAATGTGACCCTCGCTGCTAGTTGTCAGACAATTAACCTTAACACCGTTTGATCTAAATTCTGAAATTACAAAAACGCTACCTCTCCCAATTTAATTATTATAATTTTTTTTAAAAAACTAGAAAAACAAAAATTAAAATAATAAAAATTGAAGACAACGAGAAAACATAGTCCACGACGGCAACTACAATTTATTTTTTATTTATTTTTTATTTTTTTTATAATTATTTAAACTGGGAGGGGGCGGCTCTCTTTTGTAATTTTCAGATTGAGATCAAACGGTGTTAAGGTCAAAAGTCTGAAAATTAACGGCGAGGGCCACATTGAGACAATTTTTCAAGTACAAGGGAGGCAAATCGATGCAATCAAGAGTAGAATGTGGTAAAATGATATCGAGCCAAAGTACAAAGCGGAAAAATGAATTTACCCTTTTTATTTTATACAATTTTTTTTTAAAATGAATGAGTTAAACCAACAAAAGTCACATATTGTGTAGAATAAGGCAATGTTTGGAACCATTTCTATTTTGTTTTCATTGTTTCCCCAAAACAAAATGGGATTTATTACACTTTTGAAATCATTTTCTCAAAACAATTTCAAAAGTTTCTGTCTCCTTTAGATATGATGTGACTGCTACGGTAAAATGATTTGACTGCTACAGTAAAAAAATGTCTTCACTAGAAAACAAATAAACATCGCTTCATCTTTCAAAAAATTTCTTCAAAAATACTTTTTTCTAACACCTTTAAACATGATTTGACTGCTACAGTGTATTTTGTCTCATTTCAAAATACAAACAAACATTACTTTCTTTCTTAAATTATTCCCCCAAAACATATTTTCTCAAAATGAAATCAAAATAAAATCCAAAACGTTTCCAAACATTGACTAAGAACCTTGTATAATATCCCGAATATTATACAAAATATGTAACTGGACAAATCATGTAGAACGACGTAAACCTGAAAAGTAGTGGCAGAGAGGGAATATATCATACTCGTCACACTTGCATGAACATACATTGCCTACTTACATGGCTTCATTCTGCGCCAAGTACTTCAAATATGAAAAT